CTCTTTCCCCATCACAGTTTGCTGCATTTATTTTGTTCCTATCCCTCACCCACAACTGCAAAGAGCACCCTTGAGAAGTTCACCTGAGTGATGGATTTCTGGATGTGCCCAAACAAGGGTTTCATTTTCAGAATGGCTTTGGTGCCAGGAAGCAGATTGGATGCAACCAGTAGGCCGAACTAGGTGTCAGCTTTTTCACTGGTCCCTCAACTCCGAGCCTGGAAAAACCTCCCCTCTAAGGCCAAACATGGCCTGGCGATTGATGGAGAAAGCAGGTAGTAGTAGATGGAGCTAAGTCTTTGGACTGGTTCTTCTGGTGCCCATTTTTGAGTTGGGTTGGGAGGCTCTGCTCATGGTCGCGCAGGCCTAAATTAGGCCTTGTTTGATGTTTGCAACGTGCTCTCCTTCGGTCCACCCTTGAAGGGTGTTTGGGAGTTACAGAATGTGGCAACTTAGGTGATTTTAGATACACCATGGAACACGTGCATAACACCATGGATTTTATCCCAAAGGTGCTTTTTCCAAAAAGGCACCTGGACTTTCTTGGTGGTTTTTTTTCCCCTTGAAAACATTTTGTTTCTCATCCAAGAAGCTTCTTCAGTTCTTCAGTCTTCTTCGGAACTGAAGAAGCTTCTGGGATCAGAAGCAAAATGATTTCAAGGGAAAAAAAAACCCCAAGAAAGTCCAGGTGCCTTTTTGGAAAAAGCACCTTTGGGACAACCATGACCTGGATGACGGAGAATCTCCCTAGACCCTTAACCATGGACCTTAGTAGGCTTCCAGGTGCAGTTCAAGGTGCTTGACACCTCTGAAGCCACGTGTAACACAGGCCCAGAAACCCACAGACCATTTTCACCCAGAGTTTTCTGCCCACCCCAGAGATCTGGCAGAGCTGTGTCTGTGAACGAATGTCGTTTTGCAGGATCTGGGAGCTGCAACTTCTCTGCTGCGCCTCCTCCACTGTGGAATGCCCGCCCACCCACCCCGGAGATCCACAGGAGCCCCCCACCCTGCTGGCCTTTTGGAAGGCCATGAAAACCTGCGTTTTCCGGGGGGCTAGGACGTTAGGGGAGCCCCACAGACATTTCCGAGTGTTTTCAGGATGTAGTATTACAATGCCTCTTAACCGTATTTTGCTTTACGCTGGTTTTCATGAATTCAGTTTTATGCATTGTTTGTGGATTGCCCAGGGTTACAAATTTTCTGAACAAATGAATAGATAAATAAATACATAAATAACATGACTCCACTTCACTCCCACGGCAACATTTGCCATTACCCCACCCCCACAAGATCCTCCCCTCCCTTAACGGTTTGAGGCTACCGAATGCAACTGGGAGGAAGGCCAGTTCCCCCCCTCAGCAAATCTCTCCCCAGATCACTCCAAGAAGGACCAATCAGACCGATGTCCAACAGGGGCAGCTAAATAGTCCTAAAGGAACCACAAACGGACTCAAAGGAAAAGGCCCTACCTGCTCCTCATACTCCCCCCCACACACATCAGATGGTCTGCCTCTAAATATGGAGGCTCGGCTGTGCCGTCATGGCTGGCTGGGTTGACAGCAACCTGCTCCAAGGGGGGCTCGTCTAATTTAAATTTGTAATTGGTTTAACCTGCTTCTATGCCACACAGGAGAGAGTATGATTAAAGGAAAGGAAGAGGACATGAGCTGCTCTTCCTTTGCACTGCGTGAGATGCGTCCTACAAGCCCGGCCCAGAGAAACCGAAATGAAGGCAACAGCCTGGGCCCCTTGCAGAATTCTGAGCCTGCAGAAGACCCCAGGCCCTCGAGGAAGGGGAATGAAAGAAAGAGAGAGGGGGGGAGGGAGGGAGGGAGGGAGGGAAAGCCATTTACAGCCCAGCCTGCAAGGTGAGCCAGAAGACCAAGACCCCTGAGGGTCTCCTCCAAAGAGTAAGACAGCCTCCTGCATGCTGCAACCCCCCAGATGTCCCTCTGCAGTTTTTGTTGCAGCCCATCAGAGCCTCAGTGGGGCAGCCTTTGAACTGATCGTGCTGCTCTGTTCTTGCCTGGGTGGATCAGGCCCACTTTCTCCCCCCACCCCTCAGGAAGCCTCCTTGCCTGACCGTAGCAGGAGAAGACCAGTGGCGGAGGCCTCGCGGCCAGTGCAAGGCAGGGCTGACTCTCAGAGCTACCCCCGTGTCTTTGCTTTGGCACAATGCCTTCCCCAAACCCTAGAGTTGGAATGGGCCTTAGAGGTCCTCTAGTCCAGCCCTGGATGACCAGCCTCTACTAGGAGACTCCAGGGAAGGAGTGACCTCAAGGGGTGGCTGACAGTTCATACAGACAGGAAGTTCCTCCAGAGGACTGGTTGGAATCTGCCTCCTTGCAGTTCCTGTGTACTCAGCCAACTGTACGGTAGTGAATAAGCCACAATTATGACCATCATGATTTACGTCACCTGTGCACCTAGCCTACGGACTCAGCTACCTCCCATCTAGGACGCAGAACTGAGTCTGCTCTCAGCCAAGATGAATGGAAACCTCCCAGTATTGGGAATGGCTGAGAAGATGTCGGGTGTCCTCTGAGTCCGGAGGGGCTTCCACCCGAAGCCCGATAGGCAGAGGAGGGCGAGCGATCCTCTCCTGGCTGGCAGGTGCCATCGGGAGGCCTTGTAATCTGGCTCCCGCAGGCGGAGGAAGGATTGCTAGAGAAGCACCCAGCAGCCCCCCACCCCCTTCCCACCAGGGCATCTCCCCCTCCCTTGCTCAAAGATGGCACTGGGTGATTGCTGAAGGAGATGGGTGGAGGGAGGGAGGGAGGAAGAAGGAAGGAATGGGAGAGGGAGAGGGAGGAGAGAGAGAAAGAAGGAAGGAAGGAAGGAAAGATGGGTCCAGAGGTAAAGGCCTCTTTGATGTGCAATCCCAAAGGGAGGCCCCCTTCTCTCCCACCTCCCTCTTCCCCACTGCCTCAGTCCTGGGAGAGCCCTGAGAAGAGCAAATGGTCCCAGGAAGAGAAGGGAAGGGACCGGCCTCTTTGCCCATCACTCACGTGCCACTCACGTGCCCTCATCTGCAGGTCTCCACCCAGAAGGAGGTCCAGAGCTTCCCTCTGCCACTCCTTGGCCAGCTTGAGAATGGCCCAGAAGAAGACAACCATGTCCACTTGGATGTTGGAAGAGCTTTCCGAAAAGGGAGAGCAGTGGGGAGAGAGGGGAGCCCAGGGGGGCCGGCTTCCCATGCCTGATAGCTGCCCAGCCTTGAACAGAGAGGGGGATCACTGGCCTTCAGGACCCCTGAATCCCTATCCTGGGATTCTCCAGCCCCCTCCCTCTCTCTCCCTAAATCCTCCCCAGCCCTCGTCTCCCCTCTGTGGAAAGCTGCCTCTGTCCAACACCCCCCCCGCCTCCCACCCCCAAGGGCGACCTAGCCAAAACGTCCCTCCATTCAAGGACCTGGCAGGCCAAGCGCAGAGTTTTCCCCCTTGCAAAAATCAGCATGCTGAGACTTTGCCAAACCTCCCACGAAGCGAAGGGCGGCATCACGACCGACCACAGAGGCCCAGGGACTCGGGAGCAGCTGGAATGCGTGCCTGCACCCCTCCCCCCACTCACCCTCCCAGGTGGAGCAGCCGGGAAACAACCATCCCCAAGCCCTGTAGGCCCCGGCCACGCTGCCCACCCCTCTGGAACCCCTTAGCCCAGGCAGCCGACGAGGGAGCTGGGCAAAGGGAGGGAAGGGAGGTGCAGGAAGACCAAGGTGGGCCGATGGTTGCCCCTGGCAGCCCTGGCACAACGTTTCAGGGCTCTGCTTTCTGCCTGCTGCCTGCCTCAGGGAGGGCTGCTGCAGGGAGGCAGGGAGGGAGACCCTCGCTGAGCCCCCAGGGGGCCTGAAGGGCAGGGCTCTCCTCCCCAAGCAAAACCAACAGGGAGCCCAGGCAATTGTGCCCCCACCCAGTCTGGGGGCTTCAAGATTTTTCTCACCCCCCCCCCCCCCCCCATCGAGCAAGATCTCCTCCAGGATGGGTCCCTGGGCCCTTCCAAGGATCTCCGCATTCCAGCCTTGAGCATCTGCTGGGCTGGGGGCACGTGGGTTCACACACACCCCACAGAGCCCTCCGGCTGCAGCCTGTGAACAGAACTGGGGCTCAAACTTCAGAAGAGACCACAGAGAATGTCTCCAACCCTCTTTGCCTCCTGCCCCAAAGCTCTACTTCCGCCTTAGATGTCCAGCCCCACAGAGATGGAATTCCACCAGGCCCCCCTAAACCCAGAGCGACAAAAGGCCTCCCCACACCCCACACAGCAGGGGCGTCTTGCAAACCTCCCAAGGGCCCCTGATACACCCCCCCGACACCTTATAACTGGAGTCCACAGAAGCCCCCCAAATTCTAGGCCATTCCAAAATACAAATCCCATCACTCTTGGCCAGCCAGCATGCCCAGTTTCAGGGGAGCCTGGGTCAAATGCCTCTTCTGGGACGCCTCTCCAGCTTCAAAGACCAGCCTGACCCTCCCTTTCAAGAAAGACCCTCAGGGCACCTGAAGTACCCCCACCCTTCACCCGGTTGGACTCTCTGCCCCACCTTGGCTGCTCTAGCCTGCCCAGCTGCTACCAAAACCCCCAGCAAGCAGCCAGGCTTCTCCTTGGCTGAGCCCCCCCCCCTCCATCTGTGGCCAGGGCAGCCGTTCCAGAATGCTTCCCAACTAGACCATCAAGTGGGGCGGGAGGGGCCCCCTCTGCCCTTCTTCAGGACCATCCCAGCCTCTGCAGAGTTGAGGGAGGGAGGCGGAATCGGGGTGGGGGCTGCTGCGCCCCCTCCCCCCCCCGGGACTGCAGTTGCGTAAAAGTTTAGCCAGCAGCCATTCCACAGGCGGGGGAGCGGGGTGGACCGCAGCCGGTGGCCCCCCTCCCTCCCTTCCCGGGGCCGGGGACTTGCGCCCACCCGCTCTGGGCCGGCGCTGCGGGGCGCGCACCTCGGCCCGGGCGCAGCGCCCCAGGCGCGGCCCGCCGCTCTCCTTGGTGCTGCGCGCCCGACTCACCGTTTGCTGGAGGTCCGGGATGCCGATGCGCAGGACCAGGGCGTTGGGAGCTGGCTCGTCCATCCGCCCTGGCGGGGGAGAGGCCGGCGTCTCGGAGGAGCAAGGGCCGGGGCCGGGGGCGGCGGCGGGGGCGGCGGCGGGAGGCGTGATGGTATCATACAGGGTCTCCTCCCTGAGGCTGCTCTCCGTGCTCTCCCCAGGATCGCCGTTCACCACGCCGGCCTGCTGCAGCTGCTGACAGCGGTGCGGAGACTGCTCTTCTTCTTCTTCTTCTTCTTCCTCCTCCTCCTCCTCTTCCTCCTCCTCCTCTTCTTCTTCCTCCTCTTCTTCCTCCTCCTCTTCCTCCTCTTCCTCCTCCTCCTCCTCCTCGTCCTCCTCCTCGTCCTCCTGCTGCTGCTGCTGCCTCCGCCGCCGCCGCCGCCGCTGCTGCTGCTGCTGCTCCGGAGCCTCATGTTTGCCGCTGGCTGGGCTGAGAGGCATGCTCTGCGCGCCGGGGACGCGTGCCTGCGCGCGCGCCTGAGAGTGGGCAAGGGGGAACGGGCAGCGCGGCTAGCGGGCGCACAGCAGCCCCTGGCCCGGGGGACCTGCCGGCGGGAGGGGAGGGGGCTGCACGCCGGCGGGGGGTGGCTGTGGCGGTGGCAGGGAGCCCAGGATTGCGCGCGGCGGGGGGTGGGGGATATCCCATCCCCCAGGAGAGGGGAACACACAACACACACATTCCCACCCCAGAGAATTGGAGAGAAGTGGGGCGGGGGGGGAGAGAGAGAGAGAGAGAGAGAGAAATTGTTTAATCATGGTCAATGACCTCCCCAAGTAAACTTTTCAGAAATCCCAACCCCCCCCCCTTCCCAGGGGAAAAATGGTCTGGGGTCCAGCCCTTCCCTTTCTCCTGCCCCAAAGACCCTCTAAGAGGTCCATCCTCCAAGGTGGCAAAGAGTCTTGCTGAGATGCCGCCAGCAGGTGCCCTTTGGCACTAACCAGTGGCAAGAGGTCCCACTTGGCGTGGCCCTCCCCCCCAATGCTGTGAGGATCTCATTCATCTGAGCATATGCTGAGGGCTTAACTGGGCTTGGACTCGAAGGCCTCCAAGGTTCCTATTATTCTAGATGTCGCTGGATGCCGATGCCCACAACCCATGGCATCCGTACCACCTACCCTCCTTGGTTCTCAAATCTCCAACTCCAGAACCCTTTCCCTGCCCTTTGCAAGCCGTTCTGGCTCACCAAGAAAGAACAAGCCAGATTCTTTTTACACCCAACTACAATCCTGTTGCTTGTTGGCTTCTTGGTTCGATTTACAGCCTCAAGGCAGACCCTGTCACGCTCCCTTTAATATTGTGACCACCCCACCAGGCCCAGCCTCTCTTGGGCTTGGCAGGGCCACCCAGCCATCCTGGCTCCTAATCAAGGAGAACATTTGTCGCTCGGGATTGGCATGAGGGGTCCTTGGTGCTCACGGAGCCTGGCGGTTTTCTTGCAGACGTTTCATGACCCAACTAGGGAACATCATCAGTGCTGTTACCTATAGCGTTACCTAGTTTGGGTCATGAAACATCTGCAAGAAAAGAGCCAGGCTCTGAGAGCACCAAGGACCCCTCCTTCTGCTTTTTAAGCCATGGTTTGTAGTTCAGGACAAGGGTGGCTTATTTAACCAACTTTAGCTGCCAAGAGAGAGTCTAAGGCTTAAAGGTAGGCCCAGGCTCCCCAGCGCCCAGCCTTCTGGGCCATTCTGGGTAATTCCCAGCACATGCCAAGCACCCCGGCAGGCAGGATGCTCACACAGAGAGGCTGCTTTTCATTCACCCGCTTGCTCAGCCCTAAACTCCTCTGAAATTACATCCTGGGAATAAATCTGCCTGGATCAAACTTCTTGGCTGGATACCAATAGCCTGCCTTTGTCACTTCTCCTTTCTAGTTTCATTTGTTTCTTCTTTAATCCTTGACCAATTGCTTGTTTCAGTAAAAGGAAACTCCCCCCCCATGTGGAAAAAAGGTGAGACCTAAGGAAAGGGAGAGTTAGGGAGAGAGAGATTGTTTGGGTTGGTAACAAACTGTGTACGGATTATATTTGTGTTCATGTATTATTAATTCAATTTATACTCAAAGTTATATCTAATGAATAAGTACATATTTCAAACAACCCAGCTTCCTTTTCCTCAGCAACAGAACAACAGGTTTAAAAGGGTTTCTTCACAAAGTACCTCCCCTCCCCCACTTTTATTCACAACTATGCAATAAAACAACACGGCTGGAATGTGCCAGGCAGGTGTTTCCGCAACTCCAGCAGCCAAAGAGCCAACATTCCCTGGGACGTCAGGCCCAATAAAGTCACCAAAGCCCCCTTTGACAGCTCCTGGACTGTGAAGAGCCCAAAAGGGACCAGAGCCACGAGAAGAAATTCCGATTTCACCTTTTTTTTTAGCCTCCTAGGGTGAAAAGGCCAAGGCCAATCCGGACATGCCGGGGGCTCCAAGACAACCTGGTTCAACGCATTCTTCACATCTTAGAAAACGTGCTAGTTGAATCGAATCAGCTAAAGCCTTAGTAGCTGCGTTAGTGGGGTAACGACATTGGCATCACGTGCAAAAGTTGACAAGTTTTAAACTTGGTTAACTTTTGGTGGCATAGGCTGTTGTCTGAATCTGGCCCAAGGAGCTGAGGGAAATGGTCATGGGGGGGGGGAGGAGGAGGAGGAGGAGAAATGACTGTGTGCTGATAACAATGATGATGATACTGGAGGAGGGAAGGGGAACAGAAAGGGGAAGGAAAAGGAGAGGTGTGGAAGAGGAGGAGGAGGAGGAGGAGGAAAAGGGGGAGAAGGGGGAGGGGGAGGGAGCAGAGGAGGAGGAGGAGGAGGAGGAAGCCTTCACATGTGAAAAAGTTGTGAGAAAGCTGAGCAGGTCCAACGAAGTGCTCTGCTCCTTCAGCCGGGACCAAGAAGTCCTGAGACTGGCGGCAGCAGCACCAGCCTTTCTGGCTTCCCGGCTCACAGTTGGCATCCCAGCCTGATTCTCAGAGCCGGCGTGAACAGCCCAGCCAGGAACTCCTCGCCTGCCTTCTGCCCTCCAGCACAGCAGCACAGCTTCCAGGGAAAGGGGCCCCCTCCACTCTTTCCTTGGAAGCCCCGGGGCCGAGCTCTCCTGTGCCATGTGGCCCAGCAACATGGGCCCCACTCATCCAATCAACCAGCTAAGCATGAGCGACAAGGGATGGGGCAAGGTTTGCAGGCCGGCCTCCGTTCGGCTCCTGCAGAGCTTCCTTTAATTGCCAAAAATCGTTTTGTGAAGGCTGCGAAGAGCAAGAGCGAAGCGGCATCTCACAGCCCGCCTCGTGGGAAGGGGGAGAGGAGAGCTTTCCAGGGGGTGAGAAGCCAGGGGGGCTTGGGGAGTTATGAAAGGCGGCGCGTTATGTAAGCAAGAATGCGCAGGACCATTTTCGGCCCCAAGGAACAGAGCGGCCTGGCCAGCCACGACTCGCCTTGGGAGAAGGTGGGCATTTCCTCGCCCAGGAAGGTGCCAGCGCCCGGGGCCCAGCAGGGGAGCTGGACTTTCACCCCCCGCGTGAGGATGGATGGCAGGAGAGCCTCACCTGAGGATGGGGTTAGGAGCCAGGTGCTGCTCCGGCACGTGGCCAAGCGTACAAATTTTGATCCCATGACCACGGGGATCATGTGTTTCACACTTATGATCGTTGCAGCATCCACATAGTCACGGGATCAAAATTCGGAGGTTGGCAACTGACTCATATTAATAACGATCGCCATTAATTACATCCTGGGAAAAATCAAGGGGGAAGTCAGATTCACTTAATGACAGTGTGACTAACTTAACAACGGAAGTGATTCACTTAATGACCGTGGCAAGAAAGGTGGTAAATAGAGGCAAAATGCACTTAACAACCATCTCATTTACTGCTGGACGTCTGGGGCCCAACTGTGGTCATAAGTCAAGGACTTCCTTTACTCCAAAGCTTGCCAGGGGTCACAGAGACCCTCCGAGCTATGGGGCAGGCAGGCGGGGAGGAGCTTTGTCCTGGGGTTAAGCTTTGGGATTCCCCACCTGGCATTTGGGGGCTCCTGCTGCACTCAGACTAAGCTGGATTAGCGATGCTGGTTAGTTTATTAATTGGTCCTAAGCGCTAATCAGTCCTGATTACGGCCACACAAGCTTCTCCAAGCGTCTCTGGCAGGACGAATTGGATTAATTTCCACCCAGACTGAGATTGGAGGTGTTGTGGTCCTACCCAAAAGGAGAGCCCCGCCCTCACCTGTTGGGGACCTCAGGTGAATCGTCATAGCTTGGGTGCCCCCATTTCCACGTCGTTTACCATGTCAGGTTGCCCCGAGCCCTGGAACCAACAGGTTGCATTCGCACACAACACTCATCCAGCCCAGAGAAAGGCCTGGCCGCTGCATTTGCCACACCAGACGCTTAAGGTTAATTCGGGCTATTTCTCTGCAGCTTATTGTGAGGTGCACACCCAGGACGCTCGGGGAGCTTACGGTTCAGTGTATCGCACGATCCCAGAAAATGGGCTAATTCAGTAATGAGGTTAAGTGTGCTGTGCGAGTGGAGATTACAAGATTACAAGATGACCAACTTTTAATTATGTGAAACAGCCCTCGCCTGTGCTCTCCCCTCCCTCCCTCCCACTCTTCTCCAATTGTCTCTATAACTACAAAGAGATTTTGGGGTCAGGACCAGCTCCTATAGGTATGTGTAGAGAGGGGGGGGAGGAGGAGAAGGAGGAGGAGGAGGAGAAGGAGAAGGAGGAAAAGACCAGGGCCAGTGATCATGGATGCTGCAGGCACATGGCTTGGCCCCCTTGGCCATCCCTGAAGGTCTCTTGGCTGAAGAAGGCAGGAGTGGGCAAGCCCTTGAAGAGAAACAACCTTCCTGGAAGGCGGAAGCCTTTCACGAATGGTTTTTCTTCTAACCTAGGATGGAAACAGGCTGAGAAGTGCCCGCAAGGGTATCCCAGGAAAGATGCTCTGCTGAAGGCTGTGGCCCAGGAGCCCTCTGGCTCAGGTTGTGACCATCCAGAAAGGCCCACCAGCCTTGTTACTCCTCCAGTGGCACCGACCCAGCTAGCATCTAGGTAACCTTGTCCTTGAGCATCTGCCAAGGCTGCAGCTGCAGTGGGTCTCTCTTGCCAGCTCTCCACTGGGGTTATGGCCTGCGATAGCCATCTGCTTCCCCAGAAGACTTCCCCAGGGCCTGATCACGCAGGGAAGCGTGCTGCCTTTCTTTCCCACAGTTGGCAGAAATGATCCTGCAGAAGGATCCCTGGATCCCTTCCAAGAAGCTGGGAATCTTTTCAGGCAGAGGGCGCTGTGCACTAGGTCTTCTTCTGGATCCACACCTCCTTCACCTTCTCCTTAATGGCCCTTTTCTGGTTGGAACCTGGACAGGAGCAGCCGTGGGAAGGAGGCAAGAGAAGAATCCAGAACAAAGATGACCACGTTTTGCCGGGAAATTCCCACGAGCGAGATGAGGGGGAAGGGCACGAGCGCCCCCCACGGCTTAATTTCCTTAGGAGGAGAATTCCAACCCAACAGACCAGAGCAATTCCAGGCTGAGGTCCTTCAAGCATCCTTAG